GGGGGGGGGGGGGAAATGCACTAAAAAGTCCCCTTAGATCTTCAACGGTCTTCTATGGGCCAAAATTTATATATTCTTGGTTACAGACTATACGTTTTAAATTCTGTACTGAAGTAATCGAGAACGATTGCTAATGTAATATTATGAATGTGAAAGTTTGGATGGATGGATATTTGTCATAGATGTAGAGTCTATAAGAACACATATTCTTCTTTTATTCAAACGGAGTCACGGGAGAAAACTAATAAATTGTGTATACCAACAGCAATTAACATGGCGCGTCATAGAGGGCGTTGTGAAACAAAAAGATATAGTGATGCGTCGTCTGAACGCGGATCATCTGCCACAAGTTGCAGTCGACGAGCTGCCATTGAGTGACGACCCTAATACTATTTATATCACAGGTTTGTTTTATGTTTTTTGAATAGGCCTAAAATAATCAGATGAAATCGTACTTTCATTTCTTATTATTCAGTACTGAGTTTGGAGGCAATTTTTAAGTTAAAAGTTTTTACACATATAGTTTTAAATGAACAATTCGAACGATAAAGCGGTTGTTATTGTTTAGTCTGTGTTCCAAGATTTTATCTACAGCGCCATCTATTGTAAAGCAAACACAACTAATGTTTTGTAAATGCTAATTTAAAAAGCTACATTTAAGGTAATCTGGTATAACCGACTAATTGCCTCTAATCATTAAAGTCGTTTTATTCAACTTATTGTGAATCTTACAGATATAAATGCGAAAATGTAGATGCTAACATCTCTAAACTGTAAAGTTTATCGCCAAAATGAGTGAACAGAGATGTCGAGCAGTCTTTTCTTTTTTTATGTTATGATGTGGCAAAGAGCAAGCGGCCACCTGGAACCACAAAAAAGGGGAAACAACCGCTGCGTATGGACAACTGCAATCGCAGATGCGTTGCCTACCTTTAATCGACGGAGGGGGAGACACGCATAAAGACGATATTTTCTCTTCCTATGCGTCTCCTCCACCGTCATATCCACTTTACCTTTCCATCCCTTCTTCTTAAGAAAAGGGGGGAAAGGAAAAGGGACTAAAATTAGGCTTAACTTAAATTTACAGTTTAATTTAATTATTTGTACCTTTATCAGGTCTAGCACTAGACTTGAGCAGCGTGCCGCTGTCGGACGCGCGCGTGTCGCTGTACCCGCTGTCGCAGCAGCTGCTGCAGCCGCGGCCGCCGCCGCCGCCGCTGGCCAGCAGCAGCAGCGACAGCGCGGGCCGCTTCCTGCTGGCGCTGCCCGTCACCTACACCGGCAGGGAGGTCGCGCTGGCAGTCGCTAAGGACGGCTATATACCCAGTACTAGACATATCAAGGTTAGACGATAGATGGCGCTTATACCAATTTTAATTTAAAAAAAATAATTATGGCGTTGTTTTTTTGCATTTTTTTAATCAGAGGCGTTAATTGTGTCTCTAATAGAGAATCTTAGTGTGTACTTGTTGTAAATGTAAAAATATATGATTTTTGCAGATAAATAGTGACAGCAAAGTGACTCCGAACGTGTTATTCAAGTTAGAGCGAGATGACACCGTGCTCGGTTTACCAAGGCTCGTTTTTGTCATGCTTGCCGGTTAGTATGCATATAAAACAATAATTCTTATAACCCTATATATTGTAAGGGTAAAAACTGCCTCAGCGTTGTTTATACAATAAGAAATAACATTTAACGAATCGACTTTCAACTATACGTCAATTATTTAAAAACAAAAATTCAATAAACACTTTCAAATGTTAAAAAAACACAAATTAATATTTGACCACAACTGATCTAAGTACTGTTAAAAAAAAATCAGTACTGCGCTGTAGTAGCGGCGCAACACTACATTATTGACATATATGTCCCATACCTATCTGACAGCTGTCAATGTCATTCTGACGTATTAGAATAGCTTGAATGTTTAATTTAATCCCATCGTTACAGTTATAGTAATTACGTAAAAGTACAAATAAACTACATAACAAGTAACTAAAGCAATTTTTAACGATTTTTATCCTAAAACAATGTACCATTAGTAATCCATCCAAAGTAATATGTTGAAATATTATAGGTGCTGTTGGCGTGTTGTTAGTGTTGTGCGCGGCGTGGTGCTTCGGTTGTCGTCAACGAGCGCGCGATACCAGACGCAACTACCTCTTCTCACAACTACCGCCTGACGACAAGCAGCCGCTTTGCGCTACAGCTTCATACGGTATACCAAAATATACTAATATAAACAAACTTGTGGCGTGTAATTGTTAAGAATATCGATATCGATATCGTGGCAGAATAGTGCAACACTAAATTATTGAAGTATGTGTCCCATCCCTATGACATCTGTCAATGTCAAGTATAAAGCTATTCCTGGCTGCAATCCATAGACGTATCTATACTAATATAATAAAGCGTAAACACACGCTTCTTTGTTGCCTAACATGTCAGCAATTACACCATATTTTTGAATAATCCTTTTTTTAATTAAAAGCCCTACACTTACGTCACGCTTTAGGTTATATATTTTCACGATATTATAGTTATGGGTTGAATAAATACGTCAAAGATGTATTCGACAATTTATTAGTTTTTTTTGTTTAACAGGTAAAAGTATAATTGTTTTGAATAAGTTGATTTTAATTCGATTATTATAATTACTCGCAGATTTGATACAAAAGCCGTATTACGATGATGACGACATCCCGCCCTCGGAGACTGACTCCGAAGACGAAATAGTTCTACTGCGCTCCGACCGTGAATGGAAGCCTGTAGAACAACACGACCACTGACCGCTGACACCTGCTTACGTAACAGTTGTACATGCACACAGCTCACAGTAATTTGATCATGCACGAACTTCCAAAAGACAAAAAATTACCTGTCAATGTCAAGTTTTTCAAATTATACTTCGTGCATAGAATAAATAACAGATAGACCAATCTGATGTCGAAAAGTATACTTCATCTATGATTTTAAAAAATGTATTTTTTAAAAAACGTTTCAAATACGTTTACTTGATAATGTAATGATTAATATTTAATTAATATTGCGTTTATAAATATTTTATATGGATGTATGTTATATCAACATTTGCTCCTTACAGGGTATCGTAATGATATTTAAAAAAGAAAACATATTTGTGGTATTAATACGTAAAAATATATTTATTCATTACATTTTACGATTAATTTGATAAACAAATTCTATTTACATTGACTAAAAATTTGTTATTTTGACACTTCCTGTCAAATTACTAATTTTGGCGCCAATTATTAAACTTAATGTATAGAATCTATTTCCTGTTTATCAATATGTGATATATCTATCTATTTTTATCAATTCTGTGCAATTTAAACGTTCAAATATTACATTTAGTTTAATGTGTAATTAAGAAATAATTAATTAAGCTTTACTTTTGTCTGACATTACGCACGTTCGGATACACGCATTTATACATTACATTTAAAACAAATAATTTTACAAAAAAAAAAGTATATTGTTTTTTAAATTGACAATTCTGTATTTTTCTATATTTATTGAGAAAAATAGATCTCTTCCATAATATACAGTATTAGATTTGTTTATCCATATAATTGGCAAAGTAAGTTGTATTTTTATAGTATTTATACACATTTTAAAATATATGAAATAAATTAATTAAATATCTCCATTTTCAACTTAATAAAATTTCATCTCTACATTCCTTTATGCATTTTATATACTTCCTACTTATTTTAATTTTAATTCTTATAATAAGTTTAGTTTTATGTTTAAAAATTAACATCTATAAAACTTTAATATTTGCAACATGCTACGTAATTTTTTCAATACTAATCGATAAAAAAGTACAGGTTTTTGGCACAGTCAGTATCAGTAATAACCGAAAAAACTAGAATAAACGCATTCTAGTTTTCTAAAAATTGTTCGTCTGAATGCATATTTTAATAGAACATTAATTTTTATTTTATCATTAAAATAAAATGTATATTCGTAACTCAATTTAAAATATATACAAGTATTTGAAAAAGAATCTCCAATATTTATAAATTGAATTATACAAAAGTATTTTAAAAAATGTATTTACACTTTATGAAAATTATACAAATTATTGGTGCTCTTTGAATGTGACTCGTTTTTTAAATATACAAATGTTGTGATAATTCTGTATTAGTTGAATATACACTTTGATAAAATAAATATGTTAGATTTTATTTTGTGTTTTATTTTGTTTATGCATTCCGCTATTTAATCGCTCCCTGTTCCGATTGATCGGAGCGGAGTCTATAAGTGCCTGTTTAACGGAACACTCTCAATGTCCATTGGAATGAAAAAAAAAACATTTACGTCTAATACAATGTTAAACTCTGTTCTTAAGTGTAAAAGCCAAGAAAAAAAGAAAAAACTGTTCTATTTACACGACGAAGAACTTCAAAAATCTATTTGTTTTATTCTTATCTAGAAAGTAAAAACTTTTTCCAGTGATGTCAAACTTGTTAAATATTTTTTATGCGAGTATCGGAACATATTTGTTATCTGTGCTGTGATATCACTTGACTTGTTAATTTTGATAACGTCGAAATAAATAAATTAATTATATTTTCATTTAAAGTATTTACAATGACAATTATTGGCCTCACTTGAGCGCAGTCTTAGCTTATTGTGTAATTCGTGAGAGTAGCAATTTTGTGTAATGGAAAGGTCTGCTAACAGTGCTAACGAAATGAGTCGCCGCGCCGGAGAATTCATAAGACGTGTAAACAGAATAACCGACGGACCAATGACTAGAAAAAAACTGGTAATATTAATTCTAATTGTTGTATTCTTAATTCTTTACGTCGGTCCTACGTTTATGAACTGGCTCTTTGAATCTGAAAGTTCAGCAGTCAGTAATCAAATCTTATGTCAAAGAAACTTTATAAACCCTTTCGAAGACGCGCTAAGAGATTACGATGCGTATATGAGACAGGAAACAGCCGCTACATTAACTTCTTCATCGCATAACTATGTGCCTTATGTTGGTAATGGCTATATTGGACTGACCCTTGAACATGATGACCATTTGAACATTAAATATGGCAGATCATTGTCATTGCCGGTGTTTTATCATCCTCTATACATTGTCAGTGATTTCGAAATGAAGGAGGTAACTCTTGTTGAATACAAGAAAGGTATTGTCCATAGATTTCAATGTGGCAACTCTGGCTTACAAATATCATACCAGTATTATGCACACCGGACTATACCCTCTCTCTTTGTTCAAGAGATTCTAGTGAATAATCCAACGAATTCTGGTAAAACATTACAATTGATGACTCCCCTGATAACAGGGTGGCCGACCGCGGTAAAACAAGTTGTTAAGCTTCATCAAGGAGTTGATACAAAGGATTATGAAGTTGTCACTGGCATGGTTGCAATACCTGATAGCGATAAAGTTGTTGCTGTGGCAGTTGTCTGCAGACAACTAGATAATTCCATCCAAGTGGATGCGAGAGATGGGACAGATATCCTGATATTAACCACAGTTCAGTACAGTAAGCCGATAAAACAGGCAGATTATGCTAAACATAAAGACATTGTAGAGAAAAAGGCTATTGAAGAAATGGAGAAAGTGATCGCTCTAACGGGTGACAGAACTTCAGTGAGAAATTTGAAAGAGAGTCACACTCGAGTGTGGCAAGGTTTATGGTATACTGGGTTTTATATCTCTGAATCGAAAGCACACGGTATTATGAACGGAGATCGCATTAATGCTACAATATATGCAATATTATCACAAGTCAGAAGTTACGAACACGAGGAAAATATTAAAGCTTCAACCAGATCAGATATACTACGGACTCTAACTTATTCTGAAGGTTGTTACGAAGGTTATTCCACTCTAGATGCCCTTAATTTGTGGAAACCGTTAAACAGTTTGTCAAGCATTAACAAGGTGGCAAGTCTTTGGTTATTAACATTAGAAAAACAAGGCTGTCATAATTTGCTTAAAGCAGGCGCTAGCGGAGTAAACCAAGCTATGGTTTTAAGTTTTGGCAGCTTAAGATTCAGTAATCAGCACTTAGAATACAACATACACCCATCTAAACTCCACAGAGACTTTTTATTCCGTCGTATTATTTACGGAAATATGACTCACGTGAACATCAGTGTGATCCTACAAGAGGATAATAAGGCAGCCATTTTCGTAGCCTTAGATCGTTCAGATAGAAATTATTATGCATGTGATGCGGGCTGTTTAGATTCTCCAGTACAATTAGGTCCGTATAAAAAATACTTTCCTGTGAAACTAACTGAACCGTTAACAGCTATATTATATATAACTGCTGATAAGAAGCATATGGAAGATTTAAGGCATGCTATACACGTAAGAGAGGTGGTGGAAGCGCCAGCACATGAAAACCATGTGATAGCGTTACATAAACACGGCTACAGTTTGGGAGGCTTAAATCCATTATTCTGGGTGTCTATAATAGTATTAATTGTGGTGTTCCATTTGTTCCTATGTAGAATAATAATGAATGAGTTTTGTGACAACAGTATGAGTTATAAAAGACTTTATAATAAAGCTTAGTTACTTAGAGCTTTGTAAGTTTTATTGTGACTGAACTTTTGTATTACATACAAGATGCTATTTTAGTTTTGATTGAACCAGTCGGTTCTTATCAGTATTGTCTGATTTTGTAGCTTCTTTTTATATCACATGTAATTGTAAGTACAGTCGCGGAAATACGCGGTGTCCCACTTTAGAAAAAATTACCTTGCAACAAGACAAACTATGCCTCTTCTTATAAAAGGGATAATAAAAAGAAACTATTCTTGTATCACTAACCGAATTTTTATACAGATACATTTTAAGATACGTTATATTGGTTTTTGTTCCACTGTCGTTTCAAAATGTTCAAACGATTTTAGGTTTTAAGGTTATAAAAGCTTGTCATTTAAACGTTTTGACTACGTGGAACAATAACCAATAAAATGCAGCTTTTTGTGTGTATGAAAAAACTTCGTTCAGTGGTACATAGTTAATTTTTTTTATTATTTCTTTTGCGCAAGTTACTGCTACCTAATTGACTATTTGTAAGAGGTTGAGTTTGTCTTGTAAGGAACAAGGCAATTTAAGTGTAACACTACGTATTTCCGTGATTGTACAATACATAATTTACTTATGTATATGCTTAATTTTGAATGAACTCGTATTTTAAGATTGAAGTCGCAGTTTTTTTTCCATACGAAGAATCTTATTTTAGTCCAATTTTTCTGTATGTATAAATTAGTAAAACATTATTTTAAATGACATTTATGTGTATATAGTAGGTGTCCAGTGCCTAAATATGTTTTTAATTTTCTCAGAAGTGTTGGTAATATATTTTTATATGTGATGTCTATATAGTGGAAATCCATACATTTTGTTATAGTATTCAGTTCAATTTAACCTTTTTTCTTGAAAGTATTACAGTAGATACCTCGATAACTCAAACCTCGGTAACATAAAAACCTCTATAACTTCAAAAAATAATATGTTCCCTTCCCATCAGAGCCCAAAACCTCTACAACATAGACCCTTTATAACTTAAAATGTTTTGTGTTCCCCTTGGACTTAACTTATCGAGGTTCTTCTGTATATGATAGTTATTTTTGTCAGTAAATAGTGCTGTTTTGTCATAAAACTGTCGTCTTTACACAGCTGGTTATGTGTTATTGTTTTTAAAATATGTATATTTGCAACATTTATTGTAATTTCGTTTTTACATTCAATTAATATATAACTTTAAGGGCCTGTCCCACCATATTGTAAATTGTCTGATAATAATACAACGTTTAAAATTTGCGATGGAAATATAGGATTCTGTTACCTTATCTGATAGTGACGTCATTGAGCGGTCTGAGCCTCTATCAGCCAGTGGTGGGACGGGCCCTAATATTAGTAAGTCACTTGTATATTTTGATTATTGTAAGTTTGCATTACCGAAACATTTACTTGAACCATCTTTTTCACAAAGAGCATGTTAATTTCAGAGCGTAGGTGGTTCAGGGGTTTGAGCACTTGACTTGTAAATCCACAGATCCTGGGTTCGAATCCCGCTGTACCAATGTGGTTTTCGATTTTTAGAATTTCTTAAGTATGTAATTTACCCGACATTCTTACGGTAAAGGAAAACATCGTGTTACCTGCACATGTCGGCGAAGAAATTCAAAGATATGTGTGAAGTCAACCAACCCAGACTTAGCCAGCGTGGTTGACTATGGCCTAGTCACCTCAGTGGGGACGATAATGAGCTAGTGGTGATGATATTTATTTATTTTCTTCAGAAATGGCTTCAAATTATTCCTAACGTCATATTTTATTTTAAGCTTATTGATTAGTATTACTTAATTATTCCGCACAAATATTTTTAACTTAGCTTTTAGGTTAGGTTTTAAACTCCAGTACACCTTTTAGAAAGCAACATCTAGATTTTTTATTTATTTCAGTAAATTGTCTAATTTCGGTTTTGTTAACTAACCATTACAGATTATGTAGAGGACTTTATGGTACAAGACAATAAAAACCTTGAGATATTATCTCTGCCTCCATTGTATGGAATAAACTTTTGTTTTTTTTTTATTTTATCAGAATCAGATAAAAATGCAAAATCGTAAAATGCAATTGATTATAATGTATTGTTTTCGGAAGCGTAAATCAATCGTTTTGTTTTTCAATGCTTTGAAAATTATTAAAAATGTTGCTAAATGTGTGAAGCATTTTTTGTCTGTATGTTATGTACGATGTAATCAGTCCAATTTTTTGTACTTAGAGATATATAGTGCTTTTTAAATTCGTGTCAATTTAAAATTACTTATGATATAATTGGATTGTTCATTACCTTTGTTAGAAATAGACTCTAGAAATGATTTTAGAAACATTTAAAAGCTTTTAGTAAAATTAACCTAATTAAACATGAAATATTAGAAGAAATAAATTTTTACAATGGATTGAAATTAATATAGCTTTTATATTTCATTAAAATAATTTATTTAAAGATATCTTAAAATGTAAATATTTCATTTATATATAATGTTTGTTAAAGAATGTGGTGTATATTTTTTAAATAAAGTGAAATTGTATGTTATCTATTTTTTTTACCTAAAACTGAACACACACATACAACATTTCTGGAACAAAATACACTCTTATTAATGGGAAGAAAATAAATGAAAGCATATACCTTGGAGTTTCTATCAGGAAGAAATGAAACACAAAATGAATTTCTCTATAAATATATTTACAAAATGTAGCATCAAAATGTATAAGACACGCTGCAGCTCCTCTGACATCACATTTACATCACATCACGTATCCAAAGAAAATACAATCAAATTCCACTAAATTATAATTTAAATCAAGATGGCGGATGCAAAAAGAATTTAATTACACTATGACAAAACAGATTGGACAAATTTAAAACGGTCAAAAACAAAAAATAAAGCATCTCTAAATTATTACCAATCATAATTTTAGCAAACAAATGAACAGGTTTATTAGTTCTATTTTTGTTATAAAATAAACATCCAATATCAAGGAAATAAAATATTGCAAAAACATTAAAAGTCGATTGTATTTTCTTATCAAAAATTACAACATATCTGCATTTATTAGTAAAAAAAAATAAAAAAAACAATAAAGGTACTAAAAACAGAATGTTTCGACATTACACTTATTGTGAACTTCTATTGGGGTGAAATTATTTTTATTTCGTCATTAAAAATGGCTAAACTTTACAAGTTACTCTGACATTTGTATAAAAATTAAAAATATATGACACTAATTTTAAAAAACACATGTACAGTCAGCTTGCTTAAACATTTAAAGGGTACGGAATAGTCAAAATTCTGACAGCTTTTTTTTTATTTACCGAAACCATTTGTAAATGTACAAAAATTTAAAAACTTACGCCTTCGGTTTCAAAAATACGTACGTATTCAAATCATTAGATGCCCTAGGCTTATCTTCAGTGCTCTTTAATTTTAATACAAAAATATTAGAAAACAGGCAGGTATAACGCCCCTGTATGTCGCCCTGGGCGGAAGTACAATAACACCAATACTATATATGAGTTACGTATTTTTAAATAAAAAAGATGTATAAAAGTTTCTAAAGAAGAATGTATAAATTTGTATCCAGCCGACTGTACATTCACAAAACTAACATAAAGCAGTAAAAAATAATTTGGAAACAAGATTTTTAAATTCCAACTTTTGTTATATTGTTAATATAATTTTTACAACTCATTTACTAAATGTACTTAAATTGTACTAAAAAATTTAAAGACACTTGGTTTTTGACGATTTTTAAACATTTCTAACATTGAAAAGACTTTTAGGGCCTGTCCCACCAAATTGTAAATTGTCCAACAATCCAACGTGTAAAATATGCGATGAAAATATCGGGATTTTGTTATCAGACAATGACGTCATTTAGCTATCTGAGCCTCTATCAGCCAGTTGTGGGACAGGCCCTTAATATTATTGTTTTCAAACAGATCTTTATAAGAGGTTATCGTGAGCGAATAATTTAATTTCATAAAAAAAATCGCCAAGAAAATAAATTTTATATAACCATATAAAAATAATATAATTTTCTCGATTACCTAACATATAGTTTTATAGTTTACATTTGGAAGCGTTTTAAAACAATTATGACTAATTCTATCTAGAATAGAAATATTTTTAACTATAATTGAGATATTCCATTGGTAAGAGATCAACAGAAAATGTAAAAAAAAAATACTACCAGAACTAAAATTGACAATTATCAATTGAATACTGTTTTTTAGAACATAAAATTCATTAAAAAATACATTTACATACATAAAAGTTTACATATAGTGATTTTGTCACTTAGATTATCCGACTCGAAGGACCATATACGATTTTTTCATTTTATTTTGTTAAAAATTGGACTAAATTTGTTTTTTTTTTTAATTATTCGTATGCAGAGTTCTTTTTATCTGCATTAAATATATTTATTGCTATGAATGGGTATATATTTGCTATTATTATTGTTTAGGAACAAAGATATTGTCATTATTGTTATTGAGGTTATTTTAAAGTAAATAAAATATTTATAGTTGATATAATCAGACAAGTTTCTTTTATTACTTCATTCAAAATAGTACAACTTATGTAGACTTAAAAATAATTATTTCATAGATATCTGATTCTTATTTGAATTTATAGAATTTAATATTGTTGTATATATAAATAATATAGTTTAGATTAATAAAATATATTTTATTTTGTGCATATATTTTTACAAAAAAAAATTGAAATCGATAAATTCATAGCAAGGCACTATTTTTTTAGGTATAAAAAATTTAAAAGATTTTTTATTTCAATATTTTTAGACATATGGCCTTATTATGCATATTTTTTCATTTACATTTATTAAAAGTAGATATTTTTTTATTTATATTTTCTTAAATTGTTTCGTTTCAGTATTATTCATTGAAAATTAGTAAACGAGAAGTATTAAATAGGATTTTTGTCTTAACACATATATTGACTACGCGTCACTAACAACTGTACAAGTCGATTTTTTATATAAATAAGGCACTTCGTTACAACTAATTGTGGAATACTAGCTTGTTTACTGTACGTTTTTTTTACCTGAAATAACACTTGTATTAAATATATTTCTTATGTGTGTTCAATATTTATTGAGAATACAAGAAAAATAATGAAAAATACTGTAATCTTTTTTATAATAAAGATGGAATAATAAATTTAACAAACTTAAGTCCGTCTAACTGTACTTTTGCTATTTTACTATTTAAAATATATTGAAAGTTCTGAGTATATTAGAGGAAGTTTGAGAGTAGCCACAGTGGTTGAGAAAATAAGGAGTAAAAGGTTAGAGTGGGGGCATGTTATGACA